AAAAAAAAAAAAAAAAAAAGCATCACACCCACCTGAGGCTCAAAGCGAGGTGCTTGTTTTTCTTTGGCTAACTTTTCTTTCTCAGAGGACCTCTCTTTGCCTTTTCTTGTTTTGGAAGTTCCTGAAGATTTTTGCCCCTCACTGATAGTATGGGAATCTGGGCTTCCTAAGGTAATTAATTCCTCATGTTTCTCTCCATGAACTAGAGAGACATAAAAAAGAAAACCAGTGAGTCGTAACAATAAAATCATGTCATATAGGAAAAGGGGAGCAAGTCAGGGAAGAGTTGTTCATTTAAGAGGCTTGGATTTCTTTTCTTTTTTAAAACAAATATTTTATAAAGATCTGTGTGACTCTTTTTTACAAAATCAAGAGGTAATTCACATGCCACACACTCACCATTTGAAGTGTGTAAATCAGTAGGTTTTGATTTAATTGTAAGGTTATGCAAAAATTATCACCATCTAATTTGTTTCCAATCTGGATGCGTTCAGTTCATTTTGTTGCCTAATTTCCTTGGCTAGGATCTCCATTATAATATTGAATTCATTTATCTCTGCTATAATATGTGTTATTCTCTTCCCTCTGCTTTCTCCAAGCAGGGTGTGAAGGTTTTTTTTTTTTTTTGCCTTATGTGCTATTAATTCTTTCTAACAACTAAATATCCAAGTGGCAGAGGGAGAAATAACATTTGTTGAATCCCTACAATGTTTCTTTCTTTTTTAATTCTCAAACCACCCCAACAGGGCAGATTCAGAGAGGCAATGAATTTTCTTACGTTCCCCCAAGTGGTTGGAATTCAAATATGAGTTCCAAAGACATGTCAGCCCCTTTCAAAACTGGAGTCTTGTAAGTGGTAAGTGATCCCATTAGCAAAGTAAAATAGTAATTGTCAGAACCCAGCTCTTATCGATTGCTTAGTGCTGGTTATTAGCTACTTGCAAATATGAGCAGATCATCCTGTATGACTGCAAACTGACTATAAGTAACCCAAGTTCACAAGCGGGCGACTGGTCTTTCTGCCAACAATCCTAGCTGCTGAGAAATGTTGCACTAGGGAAAAATTCTTCGGTCATATAATCAAAGGGCACGGAGGTAAATTGTGGATCAGCCACTGGATAGGTTAAATTTGGCAGGTTTATTACATTCTTTGATTTTATTTCCTCCTCTATATAATGGAGATATTAATTCCATGCCCACGGGGCTTAAAACTAATCAGTATAGGTGGGCACCTGGGTGGCTCAGTTGGTTAAGGGTCTAACTTGGGCTCAGGTCATGATCTCGCAGCTTGTGAGTTCAAGCCCTGTCTTGAGCTCTGTGCTGGCAGCTGGAGCCTGGAGCCTGCTTCAGATTCTGTGTCTCACTCTCTGCCCCTCCCCTCCTTGCGCGCGCGCGCATGTGCTCTCTCTCTCTCTCTCTCTCTCTCTCTCTCTCGGGGGCAGGGGGGAATAAATAAACATTAAAAAAGTAATCAATATAGGGCATTTAAAATAAGATAGTATCTGGTATCATACACACTGGGTTTCTAAGATATTAACAAATGTCAGCTGAAATTGAATCTCAAACTGCCCCATTAAGTATTTCTGGGGCTCCATTTTTCTTACTACTCATAGGTCTTAGTGTTTGAATCATATATTTAGGTGTATTTGATTCCTTTCAAAGTAACATATTCTAATATTCAAGTTTATATATGTAAACACATAATACAGTATCAGGCAAACAACAGGTGCACTCTTCCTTTACATTTTAAAATATAGAGTAAAATAATTTTCTATTCTTTAATGTCATATAGTATAGTAACATTTTTTCCAATTAATTACAAGTTCTCCAAAGGCCAGAATATCATTATATACTTCATTATTTTTAATGTTTATTTTTGAGATAGAGAGTGAGTGATCCCTAGTTGGGGAGGGGCAGAGAGAGAGAGAGAGAGAGGATCTGAAGTGGGCTCTGTCCTTACAGCAGGGAGCCCAATGTGGGGCTCGATCTCAGGACCACGAGATCATGACCTGAGCCGAAATCCGATGCTCAACTGACTGAGCCACTCAAGTGCCCCTATATATTTCCTTTTGATCCCGAATTTCACCTAGTATGATTCTAAGCTCATTGTATGTATTCATTATCACATTAGTTAACTTCAATATATAAAACTTTATAAGGAAACTATGTGTTGAGAGTATGCGTATCAGTAAGGTGCAAGAATAAATGTCCTCCTGATTCAAACACCATGAAAAATGTGACATCATATTGTATATTCCTGTAATTAGAAGAGCTCTAGAATAAATGACAATCAGAATAAACTAATATACTCCTTGCAGAGAGGAAGCAGCAGTATCTGTTGATGAAATGACCTTGAAAAGACCTTTAGCATTATGGCTTTAATTTTCCTCCTACATTATCTTACATTTATCCAGGATGCAGCAAATAGAAATCTTCAGTGGATACTAAGACATAAAAATTACGGAAATGTATTTTTTATGATTAAAGTTCAGTGCTTTGATTTATGTATCCAGCAACTAAAAACTGGCTGGGATTTTAACATTAACATAATTTCTAAGCTAGAATACTTGTTCAGGATAAGGTATACATTTACCAAGTACAATCATACTTGGTAAATGTAAACAAGAAAATCTTTAGATAATAGATGATAGACAGACAGATTGATAGATAGATAGACAGACAGACAGAATCTAATCATGTTTGGTTTCTTCAAAGACCTTGAATTGGAAACACCATGCATACATTGTGCCTAAGAAAGAACAATATACTATTATTTAGAGTTAAGAAAATAGTGTTACAGTCCTGTTAACAAAGGTGGGTTGGCCTTGAAACCAAAGACCTTTGAGAATGATAAGCCAAATTCATATGTGTCTTTGCAAATAGAGTTAGAACCTGAAAGGTGCAGGCCAGTAACATAAAAATGTAACATATTGGCAAGAACTTTAAAATAACAACACAACTAATTATACATGAAGGCAGATGATATCCCAAAGTACTACCTGGTCCAGATCTTCCAATTTCTATTTCTTTAAGAGAAAGCCACCTGTCTCTGCAAGCAATTTTTACCAAAACTTAGGTATTGAAATATACTAAAGGTGGCACTGTTGTCTCATGTTAACCAGAGGGTAAGCTTCCTAAAAATTTATAACAGAAATATTCTAGGTTGAACATAGTTATATTTCAGAACTTACTTTTTTATTATAGGTTATAAAGATGTGAGTCTTTGGGGGAAATTATATATTTTATTTCTCACAGAAATTAAATGTTAAATTTAAATGAATAAATGTGGTGATATTTCCATTAAATTCAGGATGTACACAAAATTTAAAGTTAGGAAACCAATATACTTATGAAAAAAATTTCTTCCTCATCTTCTTCTTGATCTGAAGTACTGATAATTGAAAAGTAAGCTAAATTAATTATTGAAGATGTTCGTAGCAATTTTTCTAAAATGCATCATACCCTTAAAGTTGAAGTTTGTAGGTCTTGAGTTGTAAATATAATTGACACATAGAATCTGACATACCTATGTTTTCATTTAAACAAACTGGCTTCCTAAAAATCCACATGTATAAACATGATACTGATTAGTCTGAATTCAAAAGCTGCTTAACTTTCATAAAGATTGGCCAACATATTCTTTCAAATGGAAAATTTTCCTATTTCATTTTAAACATCATTCAATTCCGAATTTATTTGCTAGCTACTTGCAGCAACAAATGTATGATACAATGAAACTTGTAATTTAATTTTAGTAGCTCCTCATTCACACATAAAATCATCAAATGTGATGTCAAAAAAAAGAAGATGCAATTATGCCTGGAGGCTTTTTTTCTAGTTAGATACATAATAATGAGAATACCATTTTGTTGAGGTCTACTAGGTTCTAGAAACTTTACATATATTATCTTGAATCTTACAACAACCTTGAAAGATAGGAGTTATTATTCTAATTTCTCAGGTGATAAATAACTCCGTTTCAGACAGCCTAAGGTATTTTAGCTGCTGTGTTATATTTCTCCATTTAATATTAACTTCAGTTTCTTTTCCTTATTTTTTTTTGTTTTTATTTTTTTTATTGAGGTATAATTGACATGCAACATTACATTAGTTTCAGGTATACAATGTGCTGTTTTATATTTGTACATACTGCAAAATGTTCACCATGATAAATCTAGTAAATGTTAACTTAAAGAAAACTTAATTTATATTATTAATTTTGTACCATTACCCAACTCTATACATTATACTATTTCATGAATTATACTACTGTGTTTATTCTAGATATTAACTTCTTAGTTTCCTCTAGAATTTTAACATTTATCCATTAACATACCTAATGTATTAAATACAATAATTTGCCACATTGATTTGTTTACTGGAACTCTATCTATGGTGGACAACCTGAAGTTGAGAAACCTAAAAGATCTTCAGGAAAAACATGATAAGACTCTACACAAACTTGTATGTTCAGCAAAATATAGACAATTCCCTAAATAAAGACATTAATAGAGAATACAATAAAGATCTCAAATTGGTACCATCACATATTATTATTTTTTCCATTCAAAAGCTCTTGCTAGAAAATTAATTTCCATTTAAAATCCTAGCTTTGCCAGGGCCCTGAGTGGCTCAGTTGGTTAAGCATCTGACTCTTGGTTTTGGCTCAGGTCATGGTCTCACGATTCATGAGTTCGAGCCCCACATTGGGTTCTGCACTGACAGCACAGAGCCTGCTTGGGATTCTCTCTCTCCTTCTCTCTCTGCTCCCCCCACTCTCTTTCTCTTCTCAAAATAAATAGACTTTAAAAAATATTTTAAAATAAAGGTAAATCAATAAACAAAATCCGAGCAGTGCCAGTGACTAGCTGTGTGACCATGGAAAAGTTCCTTAAGCAGCCTGTGTTTCAGTGTTTTTCTCTGTAAAGGGATAATAGTTACAGCATCTACCTCGTAGGTTTATTGTGAGGATTAACTGGGTCCATATACATAAAGCCTCCAGAAAGCCTCTGACATAAATGTTAGTAGCTACCACCGTTAGGACTATGTCAACACTACTAGTTAGAAAGTGTCTAAAGGGATAAAACATTATAGTAAAAAGGTTCTGGGCTTTGGAATAAGTCAGACTTAGGTGAAAATCTTTACTCTGGTTCATCCAGCTGTGTTAGTTTAGGCAAATTATTCACAGCATTTAAGCTTCATTTTCTCACATGTAAAATCAGGATGGTAATAACTACCTCTCAGATTTTTTGTGAGAATTGAGAATAAAGATATATGGAAAGTACACAGTACAAGAGGTTCATAACAGCACTAAAAAAATCATAATCATAGTAACCAAACTTCTAGATCTCTCCAGTGTTTCCTTTTTGCTTACAAAGTACCATTATATGATTTTCATTTTTTTTAATTGAAATAGTAAGTGCTCATTGAAAACTTATGATTTATACATTTTTAGTTTTAAATTAAATTTTGTCTGTAGGTACTAAAAAAATATAAATAGGAAATTGCCACTTCAATATATTGGTATATACTCATTTTTTTTCTGCGTGTACCCCATTTGCTCTCTGACCCACTCATATATTTTTGAAGAGGAGTGACAGTTGAGGGTCCCCCATGTTCAACAGTATATGAAGTCCTCATATTAACACCAATGGGTTTCTGTAGGCTAAGCACAGGAAAGCATTTCTGAATCTTTCTTCCACACCATTCCTGACCTAGAGAAGGAAGGGGAACAGCCTTGCATGGTGAGACGTGCATTGAGTTTTCCTTGTGTTTTGTGTCTCATGTTCCTCTGACTGGAATTAGCCTCTCTCCAGCCACACCTTACACTTGGTGAGTGGTCCTACAGGCCAGGTGTGTCCAAAATGGGATTCTTGGGTATCTTCTGAGACACATTCTCCTTCTCACCACTTCCACTTCAAAGCAAGATTCACTTCTGGGGCGTCTGGGGGGCTCAGGCAGCTAAGCCTCTGACTTCCTCTCAGGTCATGTTATCATGGTTCTTGGGATTGAGCCCCCCATCAGGCTCTGCCCTGACAAAGCCCAGCAGGCTTGGGATCCCTGGTCTTCCTCTCTCTCTCTCTGTCCCTCCGCCACCCACGCACACCCTCATGCTCTCTCTCCCTCTATCTCTCTCTCTCTCACTTCCCTGCCTGGCATACTTCGGGACTGCATTGTACAAACTATTTGACACCCCCTCCCCTGTTCACATTTCAGAGTGTCCTTTCTTCTTTTCCTAAGGATCCCCAGTTTACATAAGTTTACACAATTCACACCACTTACACGTACTGGGAACAAATTTCAATTATTGAAGAAAATAGACACAGAGATTTAAAAACCTGAATTTGATTAGATGTAAGGGTATTTGCAGGTATTTTGTGCCTTTTTAGATGTTAGGACTTCACCTTGGAGAGTTGGAAAGAAAGCCTCATTCACTGTTCTGAAAGCATTGTTCAATGTGATGCTACCTTTCCTGAACAGCTTAAATGTTTTCACAAATATCTCCTCCTTTATCACTGTGCATTCTTCTATCTTGTTGGAACATTATTTTGAAACAGGTTTCCCCTGTGAACAAGATCTCCAATTGGATTTAGAAGGACTATTTCTGTTGTTTCCTTTTCATGATTTATTCCCCGTCATGTGGATATGAGTTTCCATTGATAATTTCTATAAACAACAGTAGTATGACTATTTTGAGTTTATAGAGATAGGCACAACAGAATATTATAATATAAAAATCGAAGTATCAAGAGCTACAAACAACCCATTAAAAAGCCCACACAGGAAAACAACAAAATAAGACAAAACAACAACAACAACAACAACAAAACTAGATTTGACTCTCACTCTCTGACCTATGAAAATTCCTCATACCCAGAAATGTTATGTAAAACAGAGTAGTCTATAAATTTTCCCTGAAAAACAAAAAAATAAATAATGTCTTTGCTGAACACACATCAGACACATGTGCACACACAAACTAAGCAGTTTCTCACACACAGACTGTTACTTTGACTTATCTTATAATTATGAATATTTTATTTGTACATAGATCTTTAACATAAAATATTTAATCCAATTAATATGAAGCACATATTACCAACTTCTTTACGGGGGGGGGGGGGACACAAAATGACCCAGTAATTTGCACCATCCATTATTTCAAGCAGATTTCCATTGATTTATATAGGAAAAATATCTAGATTTTTTTAAGCACAGTATAAACTATAAGACTTTGATTTAGACTAGAGAGAAAGTGGAGAGAATGACCAATTTAGAGAAATTTTCAGCTTCCACATGCTGCTTATTCATATCATAACTGTGTCCTTTTCTGGTAGACGAGAATTCTAGATTGTAATACCTGTCTCTGGGGATTGTATGTTCATCACTAGTAAGCAGTAAGCTGGTTCAAGAAACAAATTTTGAGCTCCAGAGCACCTGCCCTGGGTGATACACACAACACACGTGAATAGCAAAGAGGTGGCAACAATGTGGCTCTGGTGCCACCAACTCTGCCTACATGTGTACATGCTAGACCCTGATAAAAGATCACAACACTCTCTTGCTAACCCCCAAACAGCCCAGAATGTTTTCGAGACAACACTCCCGCTGTTCCTGGCATAGCACTTTTATACATTTGTTCAAGAAACTTTTACCAACAGCTTCTATCTGGTTCTAGAGGAACAGGGATGAGGCTGAAGCAGAATCCCTTTCCCAGCAAGAGAGGTGCAGTGGGGAGGCAGACAAGTTCAAGATTCCCATAGGGCGGCATATATTCCATGGACATGAACTCAGTATATGCGAAAGGAAATGGGGACTCTTTGTGGTCATTCATTCTTATAAATCTTCTTTGGATTTTATGTCCCACCATAGAATCTGTCCCTTCTAATAAAGGGGAAGCTCAGCCATAATAGCTTTCTCTAACTTTGGTGATAAACAAACCTCTATCGACGCTTTCAATGATCAGGTTCATGCAGTTAGTATAAGCAAGCAAACACACGAATGGTTTTTGATAATCAGCGAATAGAAGCAATAATAATAATGAGCAGCTTTGGTGTATCCTCTCATTCATTCGTTCAACAGTAATCATGGAGTGATTACTGTGTGCATAGTTCGCACTATGGATAATGTAAGACTGAACAGGCAAGATTTGGCAGAACTTCCTGCCCTCAAGGGGATTGCATTCTAGTAGGAAATAAGGTTGACCCTGGAACAACATTGGTTTGAACTGCATGGGTCCACTTTGCGAATTTCTTTTTCTAGTGCATCAAATTTCCCGCTCAGGAATATTGAGAGTAGTTTATATTTGAAAAATAAACCTGAATCTTCTTTCACTTGGAGATTCTCCTCTTAAATATTTCAAGAACTAACCTTCAGGGTGATACCTTCTCAATGACTTAGACAATAATAATTTTATAACTAGAAAAGTTTTTGGTACACTTATTAGATAATCATCAAGTAATATTCACTAACTGGACAAAACATTTTTAACTAGACCTAAACAATCTCATATTTTGGTTCTTATAAACCAAGTTGTAAAGAGTTTGAAACATAATCAATTAAAAAACAGAAAATGTCACTGGATATGAAATACAAATTGCAAGTAATAATGATTTAATAATTACATGATCAATTTGCTATTAAATATTTATATAAAATATAAAATGAATGAAAAACACTTAGGGTTCCATACCTTTGCTATCATTTTTCTCCATTTCTTTTAGTGCTTGAACAAACGCCATCTGACTTTCGGTGAGAGGCCAACTGTTATACAACACCAAACACTGTATAATGTACTTGTTAACCTGCGAAATAAAATGTAATGTTTACGCACAAACGATAAGAATAAACATAGTATAAATCTAATAATTTATTATTTTTAGCACATAAGTGCATATTTTTCTGGATCGCATAATCATAATTTGATTAAATGCTATCACGTGTTCTCCAAATTTTGTAATGCCACAGTCTATAAAACTTATCCTCACCTCCCCACCAACACCCACCATTTTATAACCTACTATCAATAACTTTTGCATTCCTGTTTAAAAATGAAACTTATTTACTTTACATTTGTTACTTATCAGTTTTGGAATCAGGATTACATTACAATCTCTTAAAAACAATTAGGAAGTTTGTATTGTTTTTCTGTTTTCTAGAACAATTTATTCCTTAAAAGTCTATTAGATCTATCTTGTGAAGTCAGCGGGGCCTGTGACTTTTGGAAAGGTAAAACTTTGATTATCATTTCAGTTGTATTATTCTTTATTATTATGATTTCATATTTTGTATTTTTCTGCTGAAGCAGCTTTGACAATCCTCTCCCACCCCAGGAACTTGTTATGCCTTTTGCCCTAAGTTTTAAATTCACTAGCATAGAGTTGTATAATAGTTTACGTTTTTGTTGTTGTTGTTTTCAAAAACTGTTGCTTGCAGTTATATCTCCACCTAGTTTTAGTTCTGGATTTGGTTTATTTTATTTTTCTTTTTTACGAGAAGCATGTTCACTTATTATTTTTTATATTAGAGAGAGAGAGAGAGAGAGAGAGGGAAAGAGAGCACGAGTAGGGGAGGGGCAGAGGGATGGAGAGACAGAGAATCTGCAGGCTCCAGGATCCAAGCTGTTAGCACAGAGCCCCACGCAGAGCTCGAACTGACTAGCAGTGAGCTCGTGACCTGAGCCGAAGTCGGATGCCTCACTGACTGAGCCACCCAGGCGCCCCACATGTTCACTTATTAATCTTAAAAAAGCTTAGGGTTCATGAATCTTGCTAAATTTTGTTTCCCATTTTATTAATTTCTACCCTCCTTTTCATTAAAACTTTTTCTTCCTTTTTCTTTGAGTTATTCTTTGGCTCTTTTTCTAACTCTTTTGTTTTGATAGCTTAGCTCATTTGTTTTGAATCATTCATGCTTCCTGATGAATTAATCTAAAAATGAACATTCTACTGAATGCTGCTTTAGATGTAGCTATAAATTTTGATTTGTATCTTCTAGTTGTTACTGAGTTCTTTGTATTCATGGTTTCTTTTGTGATGTTCTTTTATTTTTTTTTATTTTGATTCAAAAAAATTTTTTAATGTTTATTTATTTTTAAGAGATGGAGAGACAGAGTGTGAGTAGGGAAGGGATAGAGAGAGAGGGAGACACAGAATCCGAAGCAGGCTCCAGGCTCTGATTTTATTTTGTTTCCACATTTATGGGATTTTAGACTGTTGTTTACTGATTTCTATATTTTTGCTCTATGTTAAGATAACACCTATATAATATAGTTTGGTTTTTATTGAGGCTTTCTTTCTCAATAGGCTATGAAAAGTATATTCTCAGTGTATTCAGGGAAGTGTTCTATATAAATGTCTCAAGAATTAAGCTTATGCTTAAATCTTCAAAAAAATTTTTTAATGTTTATTTATTTTTAAGAGATGGAGAGACAGAGTGTGAGTAGGGAAGGGATAGAGAGAGAGGGAGACACAGAATCCGAAGCAGGCTCCAGGCTCTGAGCTGTCAGCACAGAGCCTGATGTGGGGCTCAAACCCACAAACCTTGAGATCATGACCTAAGCCAAACTCGGACGCCCAACCTACTGAGTCACCCAGGCACCCCTTATGCTTAAATTTTCAAATCCTAGGGATCATATATATTCTTTGAGCTCGGTCTGTTGGTTTCTGAGAGTTGCATATTCAAGTCTTCAACTGTTAATTAACTTTACTTTTCTCTGTAGTTCTAAAGAGTTTTTGCTTTTAATTCATTGAGTCTTGACAGGTTATACTATATGTTAGTTATGGTCATTTTTAATTGTTATGTTCTTCCTTTTATTTTTATACAATATCCTTCATGAATTCTATGCACTAAGATATTAATGTATCATCACACTTCTTTCAGTTCAACTTTAAACTTTCTGTGCCATTTTGTTTAAAAGTGTCACTTTTAGGGGCTTGGTGATGTCAAGTTGTTGCCTGACTTCAGCCAGGTGATTCAAGGGGTCCTGCGGAGTTCGAACCCCGCCGTCAGGCTTCCATGATGGCCTCGAGCCTGGAGCCTGTTTCTGATTCTGTGTCTCCCCCTCTGCCCCTCCCCCGTTCATGCTCTGTCTCTGTCTGTCCCATAAATAAATAAAAACGTTGAAAGAAAATTAAAAAAAAAAAAGTGTCACTTTTAGATGATCTTAATATTTAATCTGACTTTAGTTTTCTATTCTTTTAATTGATTAATAATTTGGTTTTGTTTATTGTAATTAGTCAGATCAAGATTTATTTCTGGTCTTTTATTTATTTATGTATTTATTTATTTATTTATTTAATTTTATTTCATTTCCAATGGGTAGATCATGTTTTCTTTTCTTGTTGCTTTTGCTATTGAATTTGTCATATATATAGTTATATTAATTGTTATATATATATATATATATATATATACATTTTTTTTTACCTTAAGGCACATGCAAATTAGAATTTATTAATATAAAACCTTTTCCGGGATGCCTGGGTGGCTCAGTTGGTTAAGTGTCTGACTTTGGCTCAGGTCATGATCTCACCATTTGTGAGTTCTCCGCCCCTGCTGCTGGGCCTCTATGCTGACAGCTTCCCGGAGCTCGGAGCCTGCTTCAGATTCTGTGTCTCCCTCTCTCTCTGCCCTTCCCCTGTTCATGCTCTGTCTCTCTCTGTCTCTCAGTAATAATAAATAAACATTAAAAATTTTTTTTAAATATGTAAGACCTTTTCTGTAATTATAGAGCCTCCTAATTCATATGTAACATGATATTTTTAGAGCTACATTATAGGGTTAGTGTACATATTAAATTTGCTATATATTTTAAAATCTCTGCACAGAGAAACTATTAAATAATGTCTTATTCCTTAATTCTGTTTATACGGGTGGCATTACACTGGTGGGATTGCATATAGAAAGAATCACATACAATTCATTGACAGTTTTTAGGAAGAGAATTCTTGTAATTTTTGTCAGATTTTTAGAAGCAATACCATTCATTGAATGATTCTCTTAAATGTCAAGATACCTGCTGTGGCATGCTAGCATTTTCTTCTATGGTGGGCATACTGATAGGTTCCTCGTCCAAAATAGGCTGACCAGTGTCTACTGTTGCACTTACAGTTCTACCCTTATAGGATTTCTGACTTCCCTGGGTGGATTTCTTCTTAGTGTACAATTCTTGCTCCTTCTTGGATGAAGTCTGCACTGCAAGAATCTGCTTGCTAGCTGAATGGAGAAATACCACACTTAAGTGAAAATGTGTGAGATGCATAGTTATGACTGTGTTATTTAGGTATATCCTTTTATAAGACACTCAGAGGACAGGTAAATTTGTTTTGTTTTAATAAGATAAAAAAGCAACATCACTGGCTTTGGAAATATTCTGGTCTTAAGCAAATTTACCATAGTAGCATGTGATTTCCATACAGCAATGCATATTCTGAGCAACCACTGATTATATTAATTATGGTATATCATCAACAAAACTGAGCCTTACACAGTCATATGAAACAAAATATGTTGCTATCCCTAGTCCATAATACTTCCCCAAAGACCCAATTTCTTAGATTGTAAATTTTGTGGAAAATTACAAATTTTATCTTAATCTTACAGCATGAGTACTGGTAAAGATCTTGTTCCTGAAAATTATATGACATATATTGAGATTCTTTAAAATTCCCAGGAGATAAAGCAAAACCTGAAGAGGCCTATATTTAAGATTTTGTTACAGGGTCACTTCCGAGCCTTCTACATCTTTGCAATGGCGTTTATTCCTTAGTACAGTAGAGTGTTTGCTTACAGAATAAATATCACAGTCTGTCATATCTTATTTCACTACAAATATCCTGTACACACACACACATTTCTTTTTCTTTTCTTTTTTTTTTTTTGGAGGCAATTTTGGCAGGGATACTCTAGAAATACAGGTCATAAAGAATTCATAAATGAATATGCTTCCAAGAGGAGCAACTGAAAAACATTTAGAAAGAAAAAGGAATTTCAATGTCTACTTACATAATAAATAAATACAAATTAATAGCATCCCTTTAAAATTAATGCCCCATTTGAAATCTAAATAAAGAAAATATCTAACTCACAATAACAACTCTATCAATATCTATGGAGACATTTTTAAATCTGTGAAATATAAAATAAGTCATGGATAAATGGAAAAAATAGCTTTTACTTGCATATGAATTCAAACAACAAAGTTGTCTGTTCTCCTCAAATTAATCAATCTACATATTCAAAGGCAATCAGAAGGAAAATGATAGATTTTTACATTGTTTGAGGGGAGTTTGAAAAAACTGTATTGAAGTTCATCTAGAAATACAAATGTGAAAATGGAAGCATCTTGTAAAAGAAGAACAATTTTGGATAGTGGCTATAATTTTGGATTAATTTCTGAATTCTGTCCCAATTATCCTTCCACTCCATTTCTATTCCCTTCTTTGCCACATGTAAACTCATAAAATTATTTTTCAAATGTTTGTGTGTAATTCTCTTGGAATAGTAATTTTTGAAGTGAAATAATGATAAACCATATGACAAACCAGAAACAGTGTTTGACTCCACTAACTTCAATCAAAGGGATTTGGAGAGGAATGTTGGGGTTAACTAGTTGTTTAAAGAGAAAACAGGAAGCCACAAATACTATAGGAGAGTTGCACATAAGTGCCTGCTGACATTTTAGAATTAAGATATCCCTGTGTGAACACAACTATGAAATCTGTGTTGAGTGGAATAGAGTGAAGAAAACAGAACCAATTTAAAGAGTAGGAGCATCATTCAGACTAGCAAAACTTAATGGTACTCTGATGGTCTTCATGTATCAGAAGGAAGATATAAATGGCGTGCAGGCCAATTTGAATGAAAAGCCACACGCAGTAATGTGAACTGAATACTGAAAACAACTCTGGGTGTATTTAAGGATGAAGGTCAAATAATGGCAGAAAAGGAAACAGGATCAAAAGAATTGCTTAATTTGTAATTTTACTCAAGTTCAACCTTACTAATCTAATATGGTACATTTCCCACTTAATAAAAGAAAATAAATAGAGCCCCGCTTTGGGTGCATCTATTTTAAAAAAGAGAGAAAAGAAAAAATATATATAAATATTAGGTAGAACATAGGTAAAAAGTTCTTTTTAGTAATTTGCTTCTATACTTAAGATAATCAACATAAGCACTATTGGGAATGAGAGTTCAGGAAGGATGCTGGCTATAAATTGTTATGTAAAGGTCAACTATAAGATATAATCAGTTATTTAAAAAAAAAAAGACACAATGGCAGTATTCAGGAAAAGCACAAGGGATTTCTTCTTCTCTTGTTTATAATTTTCTGTCTCAAAATTTTCTACATTGGGCAATGTATTATTTTTATGGTCAGAATCAAGTTACTAAAATAATTGAATATGTAACTCAGTATCTCTGTTTTCCATTATTTCAGAAATAATTTTATTTTATTAATTAATTGTTCTTGTGACTATTACATTGAAAGTAATAGCTTCAAAACTTCTGTTAATTTTAACACATAAGAGTATTTTCTGAAAAGAATGAATGAGGGATAAAAGAACAGTGAAAAAATCTTTCAAAATAATATTTTAATTATTTCAATTAAATATTTATATATTCATATGAAATATGAAATATTTATATATTTCAATTATAATATTGTAATTCTTAGCATTATAACAATTTGTTGATCTTCAGAGACTAATTTGACACACAAATGCAATCGTTTTTTAAAATATTTTACTATAATATCAGGTTTTACAGATTTAAATATTTATTTACTATTTTCTCTTAAATCATTTTAAAATCAGTTATGTAAACATAAATATCTACTTATGGATCTAAATAACAAATTTAAAAAGCCACACTTACACTGGGAGCTCACAACTTTTTCACTCCCCAAGAAGTTAATTGCTGGGATTATAGCCTGGCCTTTCCCAATGGAGCTGACAATAGTTTCCTCATTTTCTAAGACCTGTAGCTTGATGAACGCATCTGATTTGGACGTCCGTACCTGCACTGTAACAGGATGTGGTGAAGCAACTTTAACAGAATACCTATAAGGAAAAACATTTGACTTGTAAGCAATTTATTGATCTTCCCTTAAATCAGTAAAAGAAACTGTGTAATTAGCTGATATGAAAATCTAAAAGTAAAACCATTTTGTAAAATTGACCCAAAACCTAGAAATACTATCGCTATTATAGACTTTGACAAAAGATCTCAATACGCTATGGTAAAATGAAATAGGTATAGGACATTCATTAGCATCAACTCCAAACAGGGAATGCAACTTTTTGTTTGTATATGATAAACACTCATAAAACATGATAGATCTGCAAACTACTGACACATCAAATCTTTCCATTATACCCTCCTCTCCAGTCAAACAACAGGCAGCATCCTTCAAAACCTCACTCTTTACCATGTTTTCTTTGACTCATAAAAATACAGAGAAATCAAAATTAGTACCCAACGTCTATACTCTTGACCATGCAGGTTGGGAATCTTACAAAAAGATGAAATGTGTAGTATATTGCCATCCCAACCCCTCCCTTAATGCAACTGAAGAGGTTTTTGTTTTTGTTTTATCTTGTTTTTATTTTTCTTATTTTAGGTAAATCCTCATAAATAGGTGAATCCCCTATAAACTTTCAATTTCTCTATAAATTTTGCTTTTCTGTGTATCCTCTTTTTTTGTATCTTAAATCTCCCCCTTTTTTTTAAATTTATTTATTTTATTTATTTTGAGAGAGAGAGAGAGAGAGAGAGAGAGAGGAGAGTGCGTTTTGTTGCCTTTAAAGTGAAATGGAAATCTCTTGCCTGATGAGGCCCCTCAGGGAAGGGCGCTGCTAACCTCTCTGGCCTCACTGCTTGCCATCACCCCCTAGAACTCCACTTTGCAAACAAGTATCTTCAATTCCCTAAAAAGGTCACACACTTCTTAATTCCCGACTTTTCACATAGGCTCATGAAGCAGTTCCCTCCTCACCTTCCCCCAACTCTGCTTGATAGCTTTAGGACCAGCTTCTAGGATGAATCTAGGTATTGGGTTAAATATCACTTCTTAGTCTATTAGTGGCCCTGCAGTGTGATACAGTGGTTTCCCATCAGAGTCCTTAAAATGTCTTATCACAGGGGCGCCTGGGTGGCTCAGTGGATTGGTCTTTCCAACTTCGTCTCAGGTCATGATCTCACGGCTGGTGGGTTCGAACCCCGCATCGGGCTCTGTGCTGACAGCTCGGAGCCTGGAGCCTGCTTCGGATTCTGTGTCTCCCCCTCTCTCTGCCCCTCCCATGCTCATGCTCTGTCTCTGTCTCTCAATAGTGAATAAATGTTAAAAAATTTTTAAAAATATGTCACAACTATTTTTTAATTGCTGCAATGTTTTCCTCCCACTTCTTTGCTTTGTTCCCTTGCTTTCTAATAGCCAGTGTGCAGACATATGACAAAAGGCAGATGGATTAAAAAGAGAGCTTTCCCCCTTCTATTACCTACAGTTCATATGTTTTCTGTTAGTATTTTTTCTAAACTTTTACCTACATGTGAAATATTTAAAAAACATAAAAACAAAAAACACGCTTGGGATATACTCTATATATCGTTCTGTAATTTAATTTTACTACTGATTATTTTACATTACAGAATGTACGCATGTTTCTTAAAAGAAAAAAAAAGTTCTAAAATACACATAAATAAAGGGGCACCTGGGTGGCTCAGTTGGTTAAGCGTCCGACTTTGGCTCAGGTCATGATCTCACGTCTCATGAGTTTGAGCCCTGCATCTGGCTCTGTGCTGACAGCTCAGAGCCTGGAGCCTGCTTCAGACTCTGTGTCTCCCTCTCTCTCTGCCCCTCCCTAGCTCGCACTCTCTCTCTCTCTCTCTCAAAAATAAATAAATATTTAAAAAGTTTTTTTTTAACAAATAACTAAGGATTAGAGGGGAAAGTAGCCAGAATACAGTAAATTATATTTGTGCATATATTGTCAAATAGACTCAGGTGTTTCTTTAGAAGACAAATTTACCAAGACATATAGAATCTTTAAAACATATAATCTCTTTAAAATAATAAATAGATAATAATAATTTACTTTAATATTTACAATAAAATGTGCCTCTATTAATAGTGTAGAAAATATAGAAATGGAAAATTTGTAATAAAAACAAAAATAACCAAAGTAAATTGTTGCATATTCATACAAATGATTACTATGTAATCAAGAGTTTATAAAAAGTTTCAATGGCACTGGGAAGTGTGCACACTGTAAAGTGAAGTAAAAAGGTCAGATTATAGGGTGGCTTTGTGGACTGAGTGTCTGACTTCAGCTCAGGCCATGACCTCACAGTTCTTGAGTTCCAGTCCCGTATTGGGCTCTCTGTTGTCAGTGCAGAGCCCTCTTTGCATCCTCTGTCCTCCTCACTCTCTGCCCCTCCCCCACTCACCCTCTCTCTCAAAAATGAATAAACATTTATTTTAAAAAGTCAGGTTACAAAACTTTAATTATGTTATGATCTTAATAATGATAAACTGTGATTAGAATAAAACACTATACAAAAATACAATAGGATACTAACAGCGATTGTTTCTAGGTTGTTTCATTACAGGTGACCTTTACTTCCGTTTTTTTTTTAAGTTTATGTATTTATTTTTTGAGAGAGAGAGCACATGCAGGGGAGCAGCAGAGAGAGAGGAAGAGAGAGAATCTCAAGTAGGCTCTGTGCTGTCAGCATGGAGCCCAACACGGACGGGGCTTGAGCCCATGAACTGTGAGATCATGACCTGAGCCAAAACAGTGTCAGACACTCAACCAACTGAGCCATCCAGGCGCCCTATTTCCTTAATAATATATTTATATGTTAAAAAATTTAACCGTGGTCAAGCCCAGAGCCCCGTGTATCTAGAGGCTTAACCTCTCTGGCCACAGTCACTGAAGGACAACATGTCAGCACCCATCTGGTGGCCAAAAAAATGCCAATTTCAGGTATTTTCCTCTTGCCATATACTATATATTACATATAATACATATAATATACCTGAATAAAATTTTCTTGTCATTGGGTATGTAGTAATCCCTGATTTCCTTTATGGTGAAGGTATTGTTTGGAGAGTCTCGAGACAGGCATGGGAGCGGGTTATAAGAACCAATGAGGCGCAGTTTCCAACGTGAGGACAATACATATGTGTCACCAGTAAATGCTTCAGCCACGAATGTGTAGCCTTTCTAGAGAAAGAGAATTAGACAGAAGTAAGTCATACCATTACTAGTCTCTCAAATGTACACCATATGGTTTCCTAGTACTAAAATGCTTTATTATCTTGATAAGTGTAAAGATTCCAAGATCTCTTGATAAACAAAAATTACAAGCATTAGGTTTTGAAATCCCTTTTAGAAAGTCCATCTTACAATTTCCAGAGAAAATGAAGAACTCTAACACTTCTGTTTATGCGGATCCCAATCTATAACACAAAGTGCATAACTCTGGGAGAGGATTGCTGTGTTTTCCTCCAATTCTTTTAATGCTTCTTTAGGCAGATTTTTACCATCACATCATCCTAGAGTATCCCAATAACTTCTTACTTGATTTCCCTGTTTTTTAAATACAAGATGAGAAAAGCAAGAGTGCTCAGGGAAATGTAGTTCCCTTGCAATGTCAATTGGCAGATAAAGCTATCAAGTTAACAGCAGATATGGTTCCAGGGATCCCACATGTGAGTATGGGGATGAGCTCTTCAGGTTGCGGAAAAGAAGCAGTTGAAAAACCTGGGATGATGTCATAGTGGGTAATAACTTGGGTCCACATAATTGGCTATCCATCGGCCCAAAATGCCAGTGAAGCAACAGCATGATATCATAATGAGATACAAAAGTTCAAAGCAATTCTGAGTTTATAATTCCAGACACTTCTTTTTTTTTTATTTTTTTTAATGTTTATTTATTTTTGATAGAGAGGGAGAGTGTGAGTGGGGGAGGGCAGAGAGAGAGGGAGACACAGAATCCTAAGCAGGCTCCAGGCTCTGAGCTGTCTGCACAGAGTCTGACTCAAGGCTTAAACTCTCGAACTGTGAGATCATGACCTGAGCTGAAGTTGGATGCTCAACTGACTGAGCCACTCAGGAGCCCCAAGACACTTCTAATAAGGAAGAAAAATATAGATTTGCATTCCAGTTGATTCTGATGCAAAGGACACTCTCTTATGTGTTTAGATTTCCAGAAACGAAATATGAAATACATAAGACAGAATGAACTCAACACATTGCCATAAACATCTAGGAATATTAACCAGAATTATAATACTCGAGATGAGAATCACTACACCAATAAAAACTTTTTGACATTATATTGGGGCAAGGAAATAAGGGAAGATTTACACAGAATTACCTCTCTTTTCATTATTATTTGAGTTTGTGGTACTAATGCATTAAAGAAACAGAACAAAATTACATGACTCTGATTTTGTGTTTGCCTAGGCTCAGAGAATAATTTTAAGAGGGAAAATAAAGAGTTATAAAATGGTAGGATACATATTGGTAAGTGAAAGTCTAAAGCTAAACCAGTGATAGGGTTTTAAGAGAGAACCTGACTATTCTAAACTACTTCAAGACTCCTGAATGACAGTAACGTAATATTTAAATATTTGCAAAAGACACATATAATAAAGGACTGTTATCCAAAATATACAAAAACCCTTAAAACTCAACAATAAGAAAACAACCTGTTTAAAAAAAATTTAACAGACATCTCGCCAAAGAAGATACACAGATGGCAAATACAAAAAGATTCTCCACATCGCATGTTATCAGAGAAACTCAACCAACCATGAGATACCACTACATACATATTAGAATAGTGAAGATCCACAACACCGAAAACACCATATGTTGATGAGGATACAGAGCAACAGAAAGTCTCATTCATTGCCAGTGGGAATAAAAAATGGTACAGACACTCTGAAGGATAATTTGGTGATTTCTTATAAAACCACACATACTCTCATTTTTCAGTCCAGCAATAGTGCTCCTTGGTATTTACCCAGAGGAGTCGAAAAATTATGTCTGTACGAAAACCTGCACACAGATGTATGTAGGTGCTTTAGCCATGGTTGCCATAACTTGGAAGCAGCGAAAATGTCCTTCAGTAGGTGAATCAATTAACTTTGATACATGTGGACAATGGAATATTATTATTACAAAGAAATGGGCTATTAAGTCATAAAAAGACAGGGACAAAATTTAAATGTGTGTTTTTAAGTGAAAGAAGCCCATCTGAAAGGGTTACATACTATAAGAGTCCAACTTTATGACATTCTGGAAAAAGTAAATCCCCACAGAAAAAAGATCAGGGATTGCAAGCGGGTTGGAGAAGGAGAATACATAGGTGGATCACAGAGGATTTTTATGGCTGTGAAAACCCTCTTTATGATACCGTAATGATGGCTACATGTTATTTCATATTTGTCCAAACCCAAAGAATGTACAGCACCATCAGTGAGCCATAATGTATAAACTATGGACTTTGGGAGATTATGATGTGTCAATGTAGGATGATCAATGTAATAAATGTGGCACTCGGGTGGGGCACGTTGATAATGGGGGAGGCTATGCATGGGGGGGGGGGGCAGGGCGATTATGAGAAATCTCTGTACTTGCCTCTCTATTTTGCTGTGAACCTAAAACGCCTATTTATTGTTAATATAACATGCAATGAAGTCTTAAAATTTTTTTAATCTTATTTTTTTTAATCCCTAAAACAAAAGAGCTATTCGGTTTTTTATGGAGTTAGTATTTTTTTTTTTCTTCAACGTTTATTTATTTTTGGGACAGAGAGAGACAGAGCATGAACAGGGGAGGGGCAGAGACAGAGGGAGACACAGAATGGGAAACAGGCTCCAGGCTCTGAGCCATCAGCCCAGAGCCCGACGCGGGGCTCGAACTCACGGACCGCGAGATCGTGACCTGGCTGAAGTCGGACGCTTAACCGACTGCGCCACCCAGGCGCCCCTGGAGTTAGTATTTTTTAAAATTTATTGTTCATTCCCATACACCAGTATTCATGTCTTAATTTGTGCAAAATACTGCAAAGAATCATAGGCTGAAATGAAGTGTCAAAGTCAATTACAGCCATAGTTCAAAAAGAAAGACAAAAAGGTTCAAAGTTATCCGGCTGAAGAATGAAGAATCAGGGGGAAAAAAAAGTCCCAACTTGCAGTGTAGGTATGTACTGCCTTTTGTTGTCCTTCCCTCTTAGAGGAGATAACCCAAAACACAAAGATGAGATTCAAATAGAGAGGCAACATGATTTGAGCGATCATCAGATTAGCATCTACCATCTGGCAGAAATAAAGTGTCAAGTGCTTTTTAAGGAATCTGTGTATCCCTATAAAAGACTGGGGGTGGTCGGTAAGGAGTGGCCACGTAATCACAAATCTCCTGAAATATTTAGGGATCGAGTAAAGCCCAGAGGAAATGAGGCAACCGGCTGATTTGATCAAATAACAGGACTAAATGAACCCTTCAGCTCCATTTCCATTTTAAGAGTTTGTATGATTTTATGATTTTAATAAGAATTTCCAATGCTTTCCTTTTGTCATACCTTCTTTGGAGAGAAGACAAAAAGAGAGCTGAGAGGTGAATGTTCTAGCACTCACGTTAAATACCTCAGGTTGTCAAATAAATGGGACTTCTAGAAAAAAAGACCAGGACCCTTATTCCTCTTTTAAGCAGATTGAAAGCACATCTGCTCTACCTTCTCCTGGAATCTTGCAAGGCACTGGCTTCTCACTGTCACTGTATCGTATGAGGAGAATACATTTTGCACCTACCTTATTCCTTGTATAATGATAAGGCACCACTTTTTGGAACACTTTTGGCACTTGTTCCATTGTGTCATTGTTAACAACGTGGAGCATGCAGACTGGAAGCGTGGTATATACTTTGGGAAGCAAGATCATATCTTGAGGAAACAAAAATGTTTCTCTGTAATTACAAAAGCATAAACTTTCTCTTGACATGAATCATACAGAAAGTTTGAAATTAGGTTTACTGCCAAGAAATAAAAAAGTAAGTTTGAAGTTTCAAATAACTAGAAAGTATACATATTGGTTCCTTAATTATTAATATACTTTGTCATATAAATGAAAACCTTTTAAAAATCTCATTTTGTAAGTTATTTGTGACTTTTACCTAGTAATATTACTTGAAAATGAAATTATTTCTTTCTATATAGAAAGCACTTGCATTTATTATATTATTTTTTCATACACATAAAAATTTCTAATAATTAACTTCACATTCTTCATATTTCATTTAAAGAAACATGGATAAAAATTCCTATAATATCTCAGTAATGTATAGCAGGTGGGGAAGAAGTGCTAACTTGTGAAAGTAAGCTAAAAGTTTGTAGTTTCACTACTACCATGAATAAAACTACACATGTGAATACTGCATGCCTTTAAAGGTGACATCATATGACAATTTATGATAACCTCACCTGAATACTATAAACCAACTATTTGGTGGCTGGTCTGCATACGTCACAGTATAGTCGGCGAAAGCAATCTTAGTTTCTTCATCTTGATAGCACGGATAAGATTCAACAGACTTGCACTTGCTTTTAAACATTAGTCTAGAAATGTAAAAATAATTTAAGTTGCAATGGCCAAGACAACTTCTAAAATAAACTTTATGTACAAAAAAATAAATAGGCAAGACAACATAAAAGACCACAGTCTATTGTTGGCTGGATTGAGTCCTTAGTCAAAGGCTGAGGGCTCATGGTGCATGGCTCCCAGGTAGGGGACTCCCATTCCCGGTCAACCATGAAAGATGTCTCTCAAAGATCTCTAAAGTTATCTGAAGTTCTTAATCAAAGGAGAACTTAACTCATGATTGAGAAAGTAATTAAAGTTTCTGGGTAGGAAATCAGCACCAAAACTCAAACTATAAGGATAGGAAAATGAGAAACAGGCAAAGTAGCAGTAAAACTGGGTGGAGGCCACTGAAGGTCTGAAATTGACATAGGGAATCAATACAGAATATAGTTTAAAGTAAGGCATGGATTTGTAAAAAAACGAATAAAACAAACAAAAAAACCCACTAAAGACATGAACAAGGAAAGAATGTCAGAGCTTTCCTTCTACATGATTTCTGGCCCATAAGGGAATGGTGTGTGCAACTGGCTACAACAAGTACGGGTAGAGATTTCTCTGTTTCCTCCTGGAAGGCTGCGGCTTATCTCAGAACAGGATGAGAGTGATGTGAAAGATCCTCTATGTTCTTATCCTCCCACTTTGCCAGGAACTGGATCTAGCTTCAGTAGCACAAGGAATCTAGGGTCTTTGGAATACTGTCGATGGAATTTGCTGGGATGGAAGCCATCATGGCCATAGAAAATGGTTCTGTATTAGAGGTTAAGACAGAGCCAGAGGTGTTCTTGCCTTCCAGAAGGCATGGCTTAACTATACTGTCAGTGAGAAGCAAAGCCATGAGAGTCTTATGGGGCATAGGATCCACATGTTCCATTTGATCATTGGTCTTTGATGATGGGAGAAAATTGACAGATTTATCCTTGCGGCAGTTGTAAGCCTTTGAGGGAGTCATGAGAACTAAGATGGACACATATCCTGGTTTGCCTGGGGCAGTCCTGATGTATGCTCATAATCCTGGCATAATTATTAATAGTGCTCCTTCTGTCCCTTTTGGAAAAGTGTCCCAGTTCAAATGATAAATACCCTGACCACGCTAACTAGGAACTATGACGTGATGGTCTTTCAATGCAGAGCACCACTACCAATCCCATGGGAACTGGCCTAACCCAAATGTGGGTGTTGGCTGAGCCAAAGCAGCCACTAAGCAGGCAACCTCGGGAATTGTAATGGGAGCAGCCACCATTCTAAGGTAAGGGAAGGATTTAGAGGCATTCCAGTTACTATTCCCATCATACCTTTCACACTTTTTCATAAGCCTTAGGATATTCTAGTGCATATAGGGCCATCAAAATCCTGATATACTTTATAGAATATCTTGAATGACCCAGAGAACTGACCCAGAGAAATATTTCCAAAAGACTTGAAAGATTTTAACTTTGCATCCTAGTACAGAAAGAAAGTTATACCCATAAACTGAGCCTTGCCCAAAGTTCACTTGGTGAAGTTCTGCCCCTTAAGATCTGGGAATGTAAGGCTAGGCTGCAGGACCTCAAAGTTCCCATTCAGTAGTAATAATAAAGCAGTATTTACAATTGCTAATGTTCTGTAATGACCCAATCTGTAGCTTGTGGTAAGTACTTTTCCTGTGTTACCTTAATTTATCTTTACATCCTTATGAAGGAATAGTACTGTGAGGTACGTTTTGTTTTCCTTATATTAAAATTGTTATTTCCCTATATTAAATATTATTAATAAAATTTTAACTTTAGAAAGAATAAGAGACTTACCCCAGAGTACACATCTGATAATTAGTAGAGCTGCAGTTAGTATAGGTCTTATGCTGAAAGATGGGCTTTTGACCAAATAAGATAATCCAGCTAGGGTGAGGAGGTAGCTTTGGATGCTCCCACTATTTACATTTAAAGATCAGTCAGCCATGTCAGTTTCATCCATCCAATAGATTTGGGTCTAGAACTCAAACTATTGAAAGAGCATGGCCTCTGTATTGGATGGTCACTGAATTTCTAAGAAATGCTCTTGGCTATGGTGGAAAGAGCGCCTGGAGAGGAACAGTGGCCCCCTGATGTAGTTCTGCCTATGTTTCAAAGACACCTACACCTCAAATACACCAGCTCCCTAACAGGGGAGCTCATAGTTTTGACACTTCATTTACATGAAAACTATATATAATTTCTGGCCCAGAGATTTTCCCCAGAATGCAAAGGCAGGTTAGAGAAGAAGGGTTGTGCCCTTTCTTTGTGTCCACTCAGCTGGAATCTCAGGCAAAAGGGTTGCCCTTTTAGAAAACATTCTGGACCAAAAGTGAGTCAAGCTGGATGATCAGCTATCGGCAGCATCTGTGAGCCAGGATTACGGTGAGGTGAGTGAGACTCACTTTCAGGGTGAGACAAATACTATAAAGATTTGGATTTCCTCTGTGTTTAAAATTTTGATATTTGGTCCACTGTGCAATTTTGTTTCACTATCTTTAGGTTATTCAAAATGTTTATATATTTTCATATGTAATTTTCTATTTGTCTCTTACAAACAGAAATCTAATTGTTATTTTATATCGACCTTGTCTCTGACAACTTTTCTTAATTCTCTCATTAATTCTAATAATTTTTCTGCAGATTTTAAAAAACATCCTACATATACAATTATGTCATCTGTAAACAGTGGTGGTTTTATTTTTTTCCCTTCAAACTCCAATGACTTTTATTTTGCTTTATTGCCATTTTGCCCTTCTCAGAATTATGCCAGGTTTATCGTGAATGGAAGTAGTCAGGCAGAAGTTTTTGTCTCATTTCTAAACTTAAGAAAAAGCTTTCAAAATTCTACCACTAATCATGTTTGTAGTAAGTTTTGAAAATACTGGATACCAATAGCATATTAGTGAAAGACTTCTCTAGTCCAAGTTTTCTAAAAACAAAAAAAAAAAATTAATTTTCAGTTTGTGTTAAATTCTATCAAATGTTTTTTTTGGAACCTATCTGCAGGACCGAATGATTTGTTCCTTTTCCCTGTTAATGCAATGAATTAAAATGAAAACTTTTCTAATGTTAAGTCACCATTATATGTCTGGGAATAGGAGACCCACTTGATTATAAGGTATTATCCTTTTTTATTTAATTCCAATGTTGATTTGCTAATATTTTATTACATATTTTTGCACCTACTCAAAAAGGTGATTGGATGGCAATTTCAAGAGGGTGATTGGTTTGCAATTTCATTTTGTTTCTGCCCTTGGTGAATTTTTTAAATCAAGATTATGAATTGGTTAATGTTTCCTCCCTTTCTGTTCTTCAGAAGATTTGTGAGATTAATCTTATTTCTTCTTAGAATCATTGGTTGGTTCATTAGCATATTGCTAGAAAGGATACTATGTATCCCTTCCCCTGTTAGAGCTTCATCTAAAGTATTACTTACACCATTTCGGCAGTAATGCTATAACATTAGAACTCTTTAAAACCTTTTACCCAACTTCTACATTTTTCACTGCTAAGGTCATGAAATTTACTCCTATATGTAGCTATTTGTTGATTGCCCTTTGAAGCTAATGCACATTATTTTTCTGGCTCTTTGAAGGGTTTTCTTTTGGCCTCTGTTTTTGAGTTTTACTACTGTGAGTCTAGGTGTGCTTTTCTTTGCATCCTTTCTGCATGGAGTTTGCATGCAGTCTCCCAAAAACATGAGTTGATGTGTTTTACCTGTTTGGGAAAGGCCTCGGGCATCATCTTTTTGCATTCTGGGGCTATAATTACAGTATCAGACTTTCTGAGCATACTCCACATGTCCCTTGTGCTCTTTTCTTATTTCCCACTGGCTTTCCCCTATGCTTCAGTTTGGATATTTTTCTATTGATCTGTCTCCAAGTTCAAGTTCACCAATGTCTTCTTCTGTTCTGACAAATCTGCTGTTAAACCCACCAATAATTTTTTTTTTAAGTTTATTTATTTATTTTGAAAGAGAGAGGGAGGAAGAGGGGTAGAGAAAGGGAGGAAGAGAGAATCCCATGCAGGCCCTGCACTGTCAGTGCAGAGCCTGATGCAGGGCTCGATCTTATGAAATGTGAGACCATGACCTGAGCCAAAATCAACAGTTGGACTCTTAATCGACTGAGCCACCCTGGTGCCCCAAACCCACTAATATGTTTTTAATATTAGTTGTTAAAATCTTCATTTATATCATTTCTATTTGACTGTGCTTTATTAATCTAAACGTTTGATCTATTTTCTCCTATTCTTTATTTTCTTTGGCATTTCAATTATAGTTAACTTTTGAGATTTTGTTTGCTAACTCCAACATCACCAGAAGGTCTACTTCTTTTATGTGTGTGTGTGTGTGTAAATTATATATATATATATATA